TTAAAATTTCATTTTGAATATCTTGTGAAATTACAAATAAAGCTCCATTTGGTCTGAGGGCAAAATGTTTTCTTGTTTTCCTCATATATTTATTGAGTTTAACATTTTCTAAAACAAACCTCTATAACTTTCAGACATTTTTCATGTTTGGTACCATCTTCCTCTGCATTTCTATGGAAAGTTATGAGATCAATTCTGGGAGAACTAGATGAGCGTAATGGGTTATCCTTCTTTCTTTGATAGGTGTAACTATAGCGACCAGAGTCAACAAAACCATCAGGACACACTTTTCTTTCTTGTTCCCTACAAAATAAACACCAGATATCATTACATATTGCATATATGTTTCCTTTAAATTCAACATAGTTTCCTAACCTCTGGCCCTATTTTACCTTATCCACTATGATGAAAGCAGTGATCATAACTATGTACAAGGCTCTCATATCTAACTCATTGGTTTCATCTGCTTGTGCACTTGTCGACCCAGCTGCAAATGGGTATAGAAAAGATCAATACAAAGAGGTTTGGCCAAGACCAAGCTGGTAGACGGAATACTCTGGAACCTAAGTTGTTTCTTTCTTTACTTTACATGTCAGAACTTTTCTGATTCAAGAATTAAATTTTCAACTCTCAAATAAATACTCACTTAAGAAAAGATGCATAGTTTTTGGCCTGTTTGCCTTTTTCATTTTCCACATGTTCACCACTTTGTCTAATGGACTTAGTAACAATGGGGGCACTATCTGGTCTCTGTATTAAATGATAACGGCTCTGTAACAGAGAGTTCCTTTCAAATGGTAAATTTGTTAATACCATTTTGTTCTCTGATCAGCCAAGAACATCAATTCTGAAACAACAATGAGAAGAGCCTTTAAGAAATATGAAAAAGCATAAAATTATTTATCTGAAAATATGATATAAGCTTATCACACAAAAGATGTTAACTAAATTCAACATGAATGACTGTAGAAATAAGATGAATATTAAGTAATGATAAAAAAAATGGATAAGTTACTTAGGGGGAAAGGGGAGATAATGAGGCTGGGTTAGGGGGTGCTGAGTTCAGTCTGCCAAGAACTAGGCCTAGTGATTGTTTGACTTGCTCAACACTGGAAGTAAAAGCATCATAGGTCCTAACATAGTTGAAGTGCCAATCTCATTTGACCACAAAAATTATATCTCAATCTCAAATATTTATGATGTTCTCCTTCTGCAAATGACAAAATTATCTGCAAATGACAAAATTACCAATAATAGTCTCACAGTTGAGTTTATATTGTGTGTTGTACAACAATGTCTTCATGGGCCACCATACTTTTCCTTAGAAACTGTAATTAATGGTCAATTATCGAAATATAATTCATATGTCTTCCATGGCTAATTATTAAATATTGTTAATTAATTATCTAAATATTCATATTTTTATTTTTAAATCAGAGTCAGTGAAAATATCAATATTTACCTTGAATTCTTTATTCTGAAGTAATAAGTAAACACTTGCTTGGTAGTTTTGACAGTCATCCGTTCGATATGAAACAAATTCGTAACTAGTTAGTTTTCCATGTTATTGCACCAACTATAATAGGTACCCACAGTGTCCGATAGAGAAATGAAGTGATGTTATGAGTATAATCCGAGGCATTTTTCTGTGAGTTTTAGCTGATATTTTGATGTATCTCAGTGCCAGTGACAAACTTCTCTTCTTTAGAATCACTTGATTTAAGACAATATGGTCTAAAGAAAAACTGTGATTTTTTTTCCGACTTTTTTTGAGAATGCAGAAACATGTTTGAAATTTTTTAACATTAATATGAAAAGTATAAAAAGTCATGGAGCCCTATATTATTGAATTGGGAATGTTTTGGGCTACCATTCCCCACATCTTAACTATTTTGCCAATTATTCACAAGCCCAATAGGTAAGCATCAAAAATCTCTCTTAAATTTCACTTAGTTTAAACTATATTTTATAATCAATAACGCATAAACAAGTCACGGTTTATACATGTATGCTAATCCAGCCGGAGATGAGACAGAACGTTAGTGTCGTGGTTTTTAGTCGTTTTTTAACAGTTTCTTCAAATAAATATAGACCTATAATAAATGATATTCGCATACTTCTGTAAAATACTGCAGAATCGGACTATAATGCAGCAGCCGAAAAATCGGAAAAATACTGTAAAGAATCAGAGAGTTTCGGACTACATCTGTTTTTAAATCTCACTATATTAGGTTTAAAATTCTGACTTTACCTAAATCTACATTTCAAAAACCTGACATGAAATTCTTTGATAAAGATTTTTTCTGCAGAATGTAAATAAAACACTATCATGCTGCAAGATATCTTTAGTAACTTATTTGTACACGAGTTAAAATTTTATGGTTACGTTTTGGTTGGATACCAGCGTTGTTACGGTAAACTATAATCGACTGACAACTTCCGGATTTAATGTTTACATTTTTCTACAGCTAGAAAATAAGACTTTTTCATCTGAACATTTGTGTTTTTGACTGTGAAAATGGAAGAAGAGGTTGCTAGCAGTGGTGACAATATTGTCACGGAGTTTAATACCTATGAAGACTTTTTAGATTCACAAATAACATCGCTAGACCTTTATTATTTAGAGGTAAAGTAGAAAGTATGGTGGCCCATTTGTACCATTGGACCATTTGCATTGCACGAAAAACAGGTCAAAAATAGTAATCTATTGGGAGTCTTAACATTGGGTGAAGGGTTTGGCCCGGCATGTAAGAGGGGGGAGGGTAATTCCAGAAGAGGACTTATTCAAATGAGCAGACTTTCACTCAACAACCAAGATTATAACCCACAACCACCATTTGTTTGACATTACGATGATGCTATTAGTGACTGTCTTAAAGCTCATTGTCGAAGACCTTTCCATATCTCCACAGTTATTGATGGATCTGTTTATTCCCAATATATAGAAGAGTTCGGTCATAGAGGTGGTTTGTATATCACATGAGGCACAACTTAAACAGTTGTAATCTGAGTGGTTTGTCCTACCATTTATCCTACACAAGTCATGGAAGTGTTTTATTTTTAGCATAACACAGCTAAGATGATTTCTCCCATTGAGGTGGCATATTCAAGTCTAAATTTTCATAATAATATTTTATATTGTCTTCAGGATGAAGAGTTAGCTAGACAGTTAGTGGAGTTAGGTTATAGAGGTAGTGGTGAAGTGTTAAAAAGAGAGGAATTTGAAGCCAGAAAACAAGCAGCTGAAGCCAGTAGATTGTCAAAACGTAGTCAACAAAAGTAAGTTTAGTTAATAAGTGTGATAGGTGCTCCATTTTTTTTAACAATCGTACCTTAGTCTCAGAAACAGAAATTTTTTAGCTAAGCCAATCAGTAATAGTAACAGCCAATGTGTGTCCAGAATAATCTGCATTTGAAAGTTAAAAAGACAAGACTGCCACAGATAGAAAAGTATTTTTAAAGGAATTATGTAATTTCCGTACATTTTTAGTACTTCTGAAGACTAATAACAAATATTCAAGACTCAAATCAACCACCAAAATGGCGCATATGTCCCTTTAAAGGGGTGTGGTTGTCTAAATATTTTCATTACCAACTGGTAGAGGTCTCTCTTCTGTCCATAACACTTTTTTTTAGAACATTTTCTCTTACATTTGAATTCAACAAAAGTAAGAACCTTGACATTTTCATGTGCAGTTAATTACAATATTATGATGTCTCATGTCATAGGTTATGACTGCAGATTTCTGCTAGTTTTTTTCTTGTTATTCTTAGTTATATCTGGACTTTATTTCAGAACATTGGCCAGTTCAGGAAAAGAACTCAAAGATCCATTTTATAAATGTTTAGCTCAAAGAGAAGAGGCTAATAGAAGTGGGAAAATGACGGTAAATAATTATTAATTACAGAGCTATAGTGCAATTAATATTGTTATTTTTTAAACATTAACAATATAAGCTTACATGTATTACTGTAAAGAATAGGGCAGCAATAAATTTAAAAAAAAAACAGTCTGAGCATGAGAAATATTTTTTGGGCCTATACCATTGTTCATGTTGATGTCAATTGATTTAAAGAGACAAATCACACTAGTCTCACAAATGGGAATTTATTTAGCTTAGACAAACAGTAATAGTGTTCATAGCTCAGCATTGAATTTGAGTTTTTAAATCCATGTGTGTCCAGAATTTGAATGATAAAATTACGACTCGTCATTTTAAGATACTTTGTGATATATAGAAAAGATATAGAAATAGTGAGTAAAATTCAAAATAGTTTGAGATATTTTTAAAGGAATTACGTGATTTTCATATATTTCCAGTACTTCTAGACTATTACATATATTCAAGACTAAAATCAAAATGGCGCATCTGTCCCTTTAAATGTCTTCTGGTATTTTACTGTTTACTGATTTTCTAATTTCTTTGGTTGGTTGCAAGTAGTTCAACATTGTTCCATCTTATAAAAATGATTGTAAATTTGTTCCATTTATATATTATGTTTCTCAATATTTTAGACTATAGTATTTATTAGAGATAAAAATGCCAGAGGACAAGAAATATCAGGATATATTGATTTTGCTCATAGATTAAAAACAGAAGATTTCGAACCATATTTTAGTGGTAGAAAAAGATTATTACCTAGACCATCAGATCTCAGGTATGTATAAACATGAAAATAGCATCCTAAAGTTGGCTCTGGTTGACTGGTTATTCTAAGCATCTTATTGGATACATCATTAACCAACCATGATCATGTGGATGGTCTCAGATCTGACAGCTCAGGGCCCTAAATTCAATATTTGGTGAAAATTATAACTGATAACTGATGGCAACTGTGATTTGTTGTCAGAACATGTATAACTGATTGCAACTGTGATTGATGGCAACTGGCAACTGTAATTTCCATGGCAACTGTGATTTTTCTTATCAACTGATGTTCCA